TTGTGTTCTGGAGTAGCCCCAGCAATTAGAAGCTCTGCGCAAACTCTCTTCAAATTTGCGTTGTTCAGATACGTGTTCAATCACTATCACGATAGCGACGACAGGGGGCCTAAGCTGCGGATTGCCTGTATTGAGGGCATGTACTTGGAAGATCCTAGCGGCCCAATAAAGGGATGTGCGGCCATCCCTGTCGGCGAAATTTGGATGGGCCCGGGACTCCAGCAGCATGCTTGCAATCTCCACCTGACAAAGCCCAAGGTTTAACATCCCAGTTCAGAAGGCCAGGACACAAAGTGAAAAGAATCAAAAGTCGACTGTGCGGGCTCAGTGCATTGCCAAGGTTGGCCGCCAAATGCAACGCCGTCCTCCCTGATCTGTCTGGAATATTGTTCTTGGCTCTGGCCTCCAAAAGCATGCGCACAAGTTCAGGATGCCCGCTGCCTGGGACAGAGGCGTGCTGGCTACTTACAGGAAATGTGATCCAACAGGAGAGTGCGACTGAAATGGAGAGGTGAGCCAATGCCTGAAGACCATAAGCTCCAAAAATTATCCGCCGAGGCCTGCAAGGCACTTTTTCCCCATGCCTGACCGACGCCGGCCTGGGTCCCTGCAAGGTTTCAAGAAACCACATACCTGACATACCTGCCGCTTACCAGCCCTTCCCGGCCCTCCCCTCGTCCTCCCATTGCCCTGCCTTCTTTCCTTCTTTTCCCTGCCGATCATTACACGTCACGAGCGAGAATCCGCGTGAGCGGGGGTGCTCGCAGGTGTCCTATCCACCAGGCCAAGGCGGCGCGCTCCAGCAAAAAAATATATCTTTCTTGCAATGCCTAGAATTGCCATAAGCTCCAAGAAGAATCACCTTTCTTTAAGCCCAAAGCGCTGGAGGCCAAATGAAGTGGCGTTGAGCCAGCGCAATCAACTGTATCTGAGCTGCCAATTTCAGCCAATAGCAGGCGAACTATTTCCTTGGCCGTTGGCAAATAATTACTTCCATTCTTCCTGAGACTTCAAACGGTCATCTCTATCCGAACGCAATCAAGTTGCTACGTGGCCGTGGCTGGATGCAACATGTATGGGCTGGCGTCCCGAAGGATCAGGGAAGTCCACCCGTGCCCTGGCTCCAATGAGCAGGCGAACAATCCTCACGTTCCCCAAGGGACCACAAGCCGCGCTCAGCAGTGACGGAGTTCCAGCGAAGATCTGCATTGGTGCATCTGTGTCGGCCCGTGCCTCTAACAATACACGGACCATATCCTCGTTGCCTGCATCCACGGCACGCAAAAGAGGTGTATGGCCTTCTGGATCGGTGCTGTTTGTGTCAGCCCGTGCCTCCAGCAACCTCAATTGCCCGGCAACTTAGAGAAGCCATTGGGACTCGGGACCCTTCTAGACAGAGTTGCAGAGTGTACTGGAAAAATGAAACTGAAAGCCAATACCCTAACTCATGAGGCTCTCCAGCCTGTTCCTTAAAGGATTCTAGCAGCAATCGCGTGGTTTCGATGTCACCCTGCGGCACCGAGTAATCAAGAGGCCTTCGATAGTCTTGAAACGGTAAGCTTGGATTCTGAGGCCTTTGCAAGATCCTTGGCTGGAGCAAAGGCATGAAAAGAGAAAGGAAATTCAGATTCATGAGTAGAGGCGCGGCTCAATTATGCAGTTGGCCTGCAACAGTCAGCAAGACTAGCGGGGATTGTGGCATCAAGGCTTGTGCAAGACTAGAAAAATCGGTCAGGCTTAATGACCCAGAGTCTGTTCCACGCTCATGGCAGAACCTTCCCGAACAGCTAACTCAAGCTCTTTAACCTGATCTGTGGATGCTGGGGAGAACGCTAGCAATACAAGCTGCACCTGCAGCGGCGCATCCAGCCTGGCATGGGGATGGTGGTTTGCGGCCACAACCAGTCATCGTCTGTCTGAAAACAACAACCCAGAATGCAGAAGCTTGACTGAGCACTATGCATGCATGCATACTAGCATGTAACTAATGCATAATACATGCATGCACGAGCATCTTTGGAGGAGCAACAATCCTTCGCATGCGCACTTCAGAAGAATACCGCGCCTGGCAGTATCGTCCAAGTCAGCTCCATCGTGGAGGAGTCGTTGTCTAAATCGTGGCATCCCACAGGATTGTTGCAAAAAACGCTTCAACGCTTTCACGTTCTCTACATCCTCCACAGGTACAGCAGCCGCCTCTTCCCCGGAGACGCGAAGGATATGGATCATTTCCCTCTAAGGGCACTTGTCCCATTCATGGCCAAGACATCGCATCGACAGCCCGACGTGAATGCAAATCAAACATCAAGGCCTGTCAGGGCTACATGTACAATGTCAGAACTCGCTCTCTCTCTCTCTCTCTCGCCCTCTCTGTCTCTCTCTCTCGCAGACTCGGGTTCGTCAGCTGCTGTGCATAGTCGTGCAGGCCAGCCGCTCTTGGAGCGGCTGACAAATCACCACTCAAGTTAAGCAGTGAAATACACGACTACGAGCGCACCATCACAAACTGCCGGTATTACAGACTATACACTTCTGAAAGCAGATGCTGATGCAATAATTTGCAGATATGCCGGGCGCAGCGTGATTACGGGGCGGAGGGCCTATGCTGACAGGGAGGATGGCTAAAGATTGAAGGCTCGTGTTGTTTTGGAACTGTACCAGTGAACTGAAGGATACAATGGGAAGTGCTTTTGGACCGCTCTCCTGCTCGGTCTCCTATTCACGGAAACCAGGTCACATCAAGAAAGCCCTTTTGCGAATTACTTCGGTATCCTGCGATTTGAAGAGCAGCCAGGCTGCAAACAAGCATGCACGCCCTGCTGTCTAGCCACGAAGTCTGCTCGAACGGAGTAGAATAGCTTCTCTGGTGCAAGCGGTTGGTTTCAAAGAGCAGCACAGTATGAGAGCAACTTCCAAGATCATGATACTGTATTCAGCGATGATGTAATGGCAAATGCTGCAAAACTGCGGCAAGTCCCGAAATGGCAGGCAGGCAAGCAGGCAATCTTGGCCAATCAAAGTGTCACAAAGCAGAGCCGACGCTCGGCGTCTGATCTGCTGGTGCCATGTGCTACAGACATCGAAACGACTCTTGCTGAGCTGTCTTTGGTGCTGTCAAGCTCAATACTGTAAGTAATCAGTTGTTGCATGCACGCCTTGTCTCCTTACTCTATCTTGTTTCACCAGGTTCCTTTTCATTTAACCCCGCTGGCACCAGCGGGTGCGACGCACTTTTCATTGTGATCACAGACCGCAGACGACAGGATGGACGCATACTGCGCATAAAGCAAATCTGCGACTTACCCAAGGCCACGGTCAGAATTTAGATACCTTTGCACAAACATATACACATGTATGCGTATACATGTGTGCATGTATGCATGTACGTATGTACGCTTATGCAGAACGACCTTGACAGGCAGCTTGGTTTATTTTGTGAGCGCGTTACCCTTCTCACGGTCACAGGCTGCAAAACTTACTTGTGTCGTTTTGCGTCTTTTTCATGTTTGGGCAGCCTGCACGGACCGCGGTCTCAAACGGCATTTCTTGAGCTGGCTGACCAAAAACATGCTGCAATCTGCAATTGCGGAGCTTGCATACCACAACTTTACAAATGCAACGCAGGCTTATTTGTCTCTGGCCTTCTCTCGCCGCGATCGGCTGGCGATCTGACCTGTCCAATATCAAAAACGCACACCATGATTCCAAATCCACGTTGGGTCCAAGAGGAAAGCAGCATGCCAGGATGGACAACTACATGCACGCTCAACAGATCTCAACAGTGAACTCTTTGGCACAGACTAGCAGATACAGTGGCAAGGTTTTGCGACGCTGCACACGGCTCTTGTTCGGCCACGGATTCTCCAACAAAGCTAACTAAGACCAAGAGTTTAATCAAGTTCTTAGTGGAAAGAGACGCATGAGCGGAAGACAAAGGCATCAAGCATGTAGACTGAGAAAACAGCTTTTCAGACTGACTCACAGAATGCGGTCCAATTGCTTCAGCGGGCAAGGACACTCAGAAACCGCCCTGTGCAGCTGCTGTCAGCGAATGGAAACACTGAGCGGGAAGAATTCTGATAGTCCTCATGATGCCTGGGGCCAAGTCCACAGTACTGAATAGCCCGAGCGGAGACAAATGGTCGCGAGAGACCCTGCAATCTCGCCGGTCCTAGATCCCAAGCATACCTGATTAAACTGCACAGACAAATTATCAAGACCCAATGCTCCAATAAGCACTCCCTTGCAGCCCTTGCTGCCTGATTGGTGGCAGCACACAAGGAATGTGGAGCAGCACAAGGCAACAGGGATCATGGCAAACTGGTTGGGTCTCCGTTCGAGGGCAATTCTCAATGATATAAGCCCACTGGTCAGCCTAAGATAGGCTTCGACACCGCATCTAGAAGTGCAGAACTGCTGAATTACAAATTTGCTTTTCGCGCTGTAGGGCTTGCAAATTTGGCTTGCGAGCAGTGGCTGCAGGCATATCATGAACTAGGTCATTAGGGGATAGGCAGATGGCTGTGCATAGGGGGTGGGAGGAGTTGAAAATTGAGGTGCCGAGTGTCGGAGTGTGGGGTTAAGGTTAAGGCCTGGGCGGGGCGTGGTTTGCAAGCTGGTGTGCGGTGACTCAGGTTGAACCCGGCGGCATTTCAGCGAGTTTGCACAGATTCGTCTGCAAGCAGCCTTTCTGCTGCATACATTCGCAGCTCCGAGTCTGCTCGGAACCGTTCACAGCCCCACAAATTTTTCGGGGGGGGTGAAGCCTAAAACTAATCGTCGCAATTAATGGCATTCTTTCCTGGCAGCAGCACTTCGACCAATAGATTCAGGGCGAAGATTTTGCCTGTTTCCTCTGCCTAGCAACTTCACCGCCCCAATGCCAGAAAGGAAAGAACACCTGTTGCAATATCATCTTCATCACGTCAAACGTTTCCAGCCCCATACGGGGATTCTGGAAGACCTGTCGTGTACACCAGGGACCCATTCGACAGGCCCGGTCACAGCTCCAGAACCTCAGCGAGGCTCAAATGGTGCATGTCCCACCCCAACACTACCGCAGAGCTAGTCTTTGGAGCTTTAGGCTTAAGAATTGGATCCTAGGTGCTAGGGGTTGAAGCTTTGAACAAACCCAGACCAGCTCCGCACGCAAGCCTTCCTGAAGAGATTTGGATGCCGAAGGAATCTGAGCTGAATGACATCATCCATGGCCGGCTCCTCTGGGTCATCCGCCTGGACAAGCCCCATGCACCCAGCCTACAGTTCGGGGATCAATGCCATGAGCAAGGAGTGGGTTCCTCGAGCAGGAAGTTGAATAATCGGACCCCTGTCCATCCCGCAGTTTGCCTTTGCATATGTGTGGAAAGTACTACGTGCCGAAAATGAATATCACTCTGTAAACTTACGCGATCTGGCGAGGCATGTAGCAGTGCGATCTCAAAAGCGTGAACACCTCAGCTTGTCAACCCACTTCCATTGTGGACTCCAGACTGACAAGTCAACAGAATTACAACTCGGAGCTGAGGCTTTTCTGATACTGGGAGCCTGGATAACACTGGGGTTTCGCGGGCTTGGGGCCTCCTCATCCACTCAAGAAACACACATCATGTAACGGCTCGAAGTACTACCTGGATTTTTCCAAGCCTCTCTATCGCCCGCACAAATCAAAGCTCAAAAGCCCCTCGCGAGCAAGTACTACCTGGATGTTGAAGGTTTCTGGCAGTATCAGTATCAACAAGAATACTACTCATGACATTGTGAGGCAAAGACTAGTGGCTTGATTTGGTGTGATCCGTGCCTGAGTTCAGCCACTGATGGCAGTAGGTGGAGTTGCATTGTGGGCTTTTATGAGACAATTGCATGTAATGAGTGCCAAATGGAAATCACTATCAATAGAATTTCTACCACCTGAGGTGTTCCCTGCCTTTGGCTACCGGGGCCTACCATGTTTGGAATTACAGATTCTTAGTTCCCTCCACCTGCGCCCTGCCCAGACCAGGCTCCGAGCCTTGAAGGAAATCCCTGCCTGGAAACGAGGCTGTGAATCGTCCAACGAGATCCGGGCTGGCTAGGGGGTTCCAGTCTACTAGGGGCTTGGCGGGTCTAGTGTCTACTGGAACTTTTCGTTGCATCACTATCTGCCATCATTCCATGTAGCCATATGCTGACTTGCACAGCTGAGCTTGGTAAGTCACGTGCTACTTCTAGACGTCTAACAGGCGCCTCTTCAGCAGCCGTCACCAGGCGCTGATCTGTCCAAACAGGTTCACCTTGAGGCTGGTCAGTTGGCTTTTTGTACTCTGGCGTCAATGCGCTGAGACTGCGAGCATCAGAGAAAGCTTTCCTTCAAAAAAAAAAGTCATGCCTTGTGGATCGCGATCTAGCCTTTTGTGTGATGCAGCCTTCTGTGTCCGACATCAAGGACAGGCAGCAAAGGATCAGTTGGCAGGGGCTCGCTGCCACAGAGGCGTCTGGCTACGTTTTTAACATGGTCTTTAGGCAGTTTGAGGGACTAGTCCATGTGGGTGTGTCTGTGACAGCCCAAGCCAGCCCAACCTTATTGGGACATTCCTGGGCAAACGTCCGCAGTCCGAGCCACGCTCATTGGATACGACCTGGGTGCCAGCGCCAGCTTTCAGTCTTCAGCATGTCGGAAAAATCAGCTACACTTCAAATACAGCATGTGTTGCATTCTACAACGGGATCAGCGATTGGCTGGAGCTACTCTAGTTGCCATAACTGCAAAAGGGCGTGCAGCAAGGCCACAGAAACAGCGCCGGAACCAGCGCTGGGAACCCGCTCCAAGGGCTGCTCCGATCTTCTCGAAGCTTACTTGGGCAGAGGACTCCAAAGCCACAGCTGTTACGTTGGCAAACTGCATGAAAAACTCTTGCGATCCGGTAAGAATCTACTACTATCACAGTTACTTAACGTTCAATTGCCATGTGCCAAACATGTTCCTGAAGACCCAACTCCAATGACCAGCGATTCAACTCTACCCGAAGTCCCGTAACAGTATGATTGCACAGACTGAGGCTTGGCGCCCTGAACATCTCAACGTAGCATGTCACACTGCACCCAAGGCCCATGCGGATACTCTGCCGTTGTCCTGAAGCTAGCTTGTGACGAGTGACATCGAGCAACCCTGGTGCTCTGGGTTGTAAGTTGCAGTTTGCGATGCTTCCTATGGGCTGTCAGGCTCATCGCACAGCAAACAGTCGCAAAGGCAGAAGCACCAGCAAGCGCCGGCTGACCTCATACCACTCAATACCAGCCATCGCCAAGGCCTGAAGCATTGAAGCATGACAAAAAAAGTAAGGTGACATTGGGCAATGCATGGGATGTGCAACTGTGATTGTGGGCTTCATCTGAGCTCATTCATATCAGTAGATCGAGGGGCGCCTGAGTGCCGCGTTTGGTGTGACGTTGAAGGAGTACAGGCTCTGGTGCTGTTAGGGTTCTGTTTGGAGCGGGGTGGTGCAAGCACATCCGGCAACACATTTTGAAAAAAGCGAGGGGCGCGACGCGTAGTCAAGCTGTTTTGGATGACCACTTCGGAGGTCAGTCTTCGGCAACCGAACCGGGCTACATATTTAGTCTCGTAGTAACGGTTCGGTTTCAGAAGTCTTCGCTGGCAGTTACTTACCCAGTCACCAATTCGGGCGGCACCTGAGAGAAAGCAAGGTGACTTGGGCGGAGCACACATACATACATGCGTGCATGGGTACATACATGATAAACACATACATGCTCCGGCCGACAACAAACGGGCACTGTCTCCTCAACTCCCATTGGTTGTGAGTCATGAGTCGAAATAAAAAAACACAGAACGAAACTAATGAACTCAACCCTGAGTTATCCAATATGGTGGAACCCCTAATTATCTTCGATTAGAAAGCTTGTTTTTTTGCATCTGGTCTTTATGTGCAGTTAGACTGGCCGGCACAGCAACCTGGTACTCCTGACTAAGCTGCCACACCCGAATCAGACTAGTTGGATCGGCGAATGTTCAGCCAACTGCTTGTGGTGAACAGCAAGCCATACGTGAAGGTATCCCTTCGCCAAACACCGGAAATCACGATGCATAGCTAACTGGGGTACCAGGTGCGTCAGTCCCTGTCGCGTTACATCCATGCCCAAATCATACTGCATGAGCCCATGTTCCAGTGCATCCAGAAGACTTTGTAGGGGCCAACGTAACAAGGACTACATTTGCGAATCAAGTAAAAGTGTTGTAGCCGCGCAACCTCAGGGTTTAAGGGAGCATCCCAAGAACACCAAGTTGAGACATATTTGCAAGAGTGACTGAAAGGTCTTAAGATTAGAATGACTACTCTGCCAAAAACACAATTGGAAATCTAAAGACTTCAGGGCCCAACCAAAAATTAGCAGGGGCTGCTTACTACAAAAAGCTCGAAACACGTTTTGACGTTCGCATCGCGCGACCAATCTCGTAAAGGCTACTCCCAAAGGCGAAACAAATGCGAGTGAGGAATCTAAGAGCGAAGCTTTCAGTGGAGTAGCAGAGTAGTTCGGCTAATCCGATCGCGGGCCCGACCAATGAGTTTTCATTTCGGGAAGCAAAGCGGGCAACATAGTTTAAAGGCCGCTTTCATATTATCTGCATTCAGTAATTTAGTAAAGGGGTTTTGGGCGAGCAAATACGGCCAGAAATTGGGTGGGCTGTCGAAACTGTGGTCCTTTTCTTGAGGCAGAGAAAGCACTCCGTATTTGCTAGAGTCGCTTTCATTTTGGCCTTATCCGGCTACAGATGCAATGAAGCCGCTTCCAGTGAACAAACAACTTGGCTGACACTGTTCGGAAGTAGCTTGGGCACCCAAGTTGGTTACCGAATCTTGCTAGGGATTTAGATGGAGTCAGGAGGTAATACGTGCACAGTGGGGATGGAAGATGGGCCCTACCAGGGATTATGCAGGGTTTTTGTAGAGATCCAGATGCACTCCTTACTCCTCTCCACCACCAGTACGGAATGGGAGCGACACACTGAGTAAAGTAAGTTGAGCAGACAACTAGCAAATCTCTTAGTAACTACTTCTAAGAGGACCAGTAATTTTGAAAAACAAATGCCCATTATGTATGATTAAGGGGACGACATCGCTCGACATCTCTGCAGCTTTTGAGGTAACCGTCGAGGGGCATATTGTGGTTCAGGCACTCAGCAGGGGCCAAATAGCATTGGTTAAAAAGTGTTGAAAGCCCAACTTTTTCATGAATCAGTGTTCGCGCGCCGCAGTTGTCAATACACGTGGAAAAGTTGTTGAGGCAACCGAGCTGGCTTTTCCTTGCTCTAGGCAACGCAAGATTTTCAGCAACCAAAATCGGCGCTGCAGGCTACATGTCTTAAGGGTGCAAAAGAATGTCTACGTGTGTTAATGCTGGCTCCGTAAGAACGACAGGATTGGCGGCTCCGATTGGGTGCTGCGAGCAGCCAAGTCTGGTGGCGGCTTCGGGCAAAAGTCGGGCTTGTACCCTCGGGTGTTTGGGGTGGCGAGATGTGAGGAGTATGTCTTTGGGTGGTTAGCCATAAGTTATAAACCCGTACGTAGAGTTTAAGAAATTGCCTTGAGCCATTGTTACTTAAAAAAGTGCATTTCGGGGCCCAAACGCGCCCCCAGATTCGAAGAAATTTCTTTCCAGACCCTAGTACATCAAGAAAACGGTTTTTTTCAACTCAGGAAATCAATCTAAAAGGGCTCAAGGTCTGCTTACTCTAACTCTTAGTGCTTCTGCTTGGCTGTGCTACTTGTACTTACTTAACATGGTTAACTTTTCCTTTTCGGATCTCTAGAATAGTGGGGCTCCGATCCCTTTAAGGGAGAGACCCATTTTACTCTTGAAGAGCGAGGATTATGAGAGGATGGTATTGACAGTCAGGCTTCAACAGTATGATCCCGCATGTCATGATACATTGCCACATCGCCCACCGGGACCCCTGCCGACTCTCTGGGATCATCCTGAAGCGTGCCGGCAGGGTCATCATAAACGCAAAAAAGGCTCTCCAACATGCTGACTTCACGGGATATGCTGCTGTATTGCTGACTCTCACAATCGACGTGCAGCAATCGAAAAAATCATGACTGCATCATGTACCAGCAAAAGGTGGCTGACCTCGAACAGCTCAATGCCAGCATCTGCAAAGGCCTCTCGCGACTCCAAAATCAAAGTCTACCGTCAAACTTGCGCTGCTGGCTACGCAAACTACGCCAGAGCCTGGTGTCCATGGGTCCACACACGACTAGCCAATTTCCACTAGGGCATTTTGGGTAAGGCAGGAGACCCCCAGCGTTCCCTCCACTGTTCTGCTCAGCCGAACGCCTCTAATTTGCACCCTGAGAGGGAAAGCCCCTAGAACGCTTCTGAGCCGCTCTGCTTGGTATTTAAGCCAGGTCAGATTAGATCCTCTTTTTAAAGATGCTCGAGCCAAAAAAGTCATAGAATCTTTCTCTATATGGGCACCTGTATCCCATGTTACGTACCTACTCATATGACCTATGACCCCATGTAGCAGCAAGATCATCCCAGTTTCCATGTCACTAGCTACGTGGTTCCTCATGCCCATTTCAAACAATTAATGCTCATTATTGGGTTTTCTTTTCCATTATCCCAATATAACCCCAATATAATCCCCATATAACCTCATTATAGTAGTTTCCATTTTATTTTCCATTATCCCAATAGAACCCTAACCTCAAAATCTCCTGAGAGCTGAGCCTCAGCCATGGCCAGCGAGGACATGTCCTCGTCCTTGCTTAACCATAGGGGTATAGGAGTGGTATAGGGTTCTGGGCTTCTTTTGTAGCACATAACGTGGTCCTACAGTGCGAACATTCAGAATTTAGATTGCGGGAGAGGGTATTAATTCAAGTCTCTTCACAAGGGGAGCTGCGCATCCTCGCCTACCATACTTACAGGTCAAGTAAGTCGTGCTGAAGGCTTTGGGGGGGCTTCGGGGCTTGACACAGTGCACGGTCCTGAAAGCAGAGGCATCAATGAAGTCCAAAACTGGTGTCTTGAAAGCTAAGGGGCTCAGATCCCTGACTTCAGGTTTTACTCTTAAAGTGTATCTAGCCCCTTTCGTTCCAACAACCCCAACCGTAGCCTTCTTGAACCAACTACTAATCAGCCTCCACAAAGCCAATGCCAAGTGAGTCGAGGGCCTGCGGCGCACACAAGGGCATTGACCAGGACACGGCGGTGATGTGGTGTGGAAACATTAAACTCAAAGCTGAAGAAGGGTTCGGACAACCAAACAAAGAAGGAGTCTCCTTACAGCATGAGCAGACACAATGCTTATCCTGCTGTGGTGCAATTGCTCGACCATCGCTGTGAAACACCGGGCAATTATACCCGCACCAAGATTACATTACAGCAGTGCTTTATGTATCCGGGCTATGAAGTACTTGTTCCGCAAATCGTTTTCCAAGCTGACATTACATCAGTGCTTCTATGTCGATTTGCAGGGAACTCCCCGCAGAATCCGCTGGCGTGGAAAGCCTTGTCATGCAATTCCTGGTGCTTTCATCATCGCAAAAATTTAGGTTTAGAGAACTTTGTACAATGTTGCACCCGCTTTGGATTTTTGGACTTCTATCGCACGCTCCAGGATTGCTGTGAGGAAGCTTCTGGGAAATCATTTGAGGCTTTTGATGTTTTGGGGGTGCCGGGGTCGTTTTCTAAGTTCAGGGGCAGATGTCTACTGCCTCTTTGACACGTCAAGCCCCTCGATGGATTTGGGGGATCAAATGCTGCAGAGCCCCGCCACTAGCTGGGTGCGGCTGAGCCTGCCCTCCCTTGTCTAACCCTTAGGCCTAAAGCTCAATGCACAAGACTTCCCAAACGCCGCCTGCGCTCTGCACAACTATACAACTGCTCTAGGAAGGTCAAAGGATTGGTGCGTAACGTCTCTTGCTAGTGACCTTAGCAAAAATTTTCTCCCTCTCAACGATCCAAGGTCACGGCTTGCGTTAGCTCTGACTCGGACTCCTGCAGGGCCGGCTTTTCAAGATGATTCGGGGCTGACAGTCGTGAGGCTTGCATATGCAGACAGGACGTGGGAAGGCCTTGGACTTGGAAGAGAGCGTCCAAGCCCTCGCAAGGACCGTCGGAGTGTCAGCAGGCTTTCACAGAGATTTCTTGAGCCGGACATTTGAGGGAAGTCTGATTCGCAGCCTTACCTTCTGCAGTCTGGCACGAAGGTGTGTACAATGTCCTGGCGCTGCCTTCTTCCCGTAACCCCCTCAAAATCACTCCACTGGAGCTCTGCTCTTCTCTTGCGGCTCATGCTCACATGGAGCCAATTCATAGCCAATCCATTCCCGCTGCATGAGGTATATGGTGATCCTTGCAGGCGTCAATGATGATAGCCAAGGTCTCACGCTCGTCATCCTCCTCGTGCGCCTGAAGCTTGACGGGTGGTTAAAACCGGGGTAAAAATCAATAACCAGACTGATAACCCACACTAACGCGCTTGTAGTCCCACTCATAGCTACTGATATACCTGCAAGCGGCGTGACTAAGAGAATGAATAAGTGTGATGTTGCAGGGGATGATTGGTCATCTGGTCAGTGCTCGAGCTCAGCAACCCATTTTGAGGTTTCTCAAAAATGGAAAAGCAATCCATCAACCCTGGTTAAATCTGTGGGCCCCTGTGGGACTAGGATGCTCACAACCGGTTCTGGCACTCTCTCTGGCTCATTTCACTAGGCACTCACGAAACTGGACTTGGGCCTGGGCATCATTGCCAGGCTCTGCCGGCAAAATCAGCCCTTGCGCGGTGGAGGATGGTTTTCTCAAGGGAAGGTACCAGGCACACTGGAGATGCAAGCTTCAGGCTTCTGGCACGCAAAGGTACATGAGGGGAAAAATCTGGCTTGGGTTTCACTTCCAGTGAAGCAATGCATCTGAAGCAGTCCGAACCCAACGAATCAAACCTACCCTTACAGGCATTCCATGCAGAGACTACGCTATGTACCATGTCCTGCTTGTGCCTTCTTAGCAGAACCCGGCACCACCACATGTCAACGTACCAAGCACCAGAAGCTTGCATGGCAACGGAGGGACCATGCCGGGTTTCCCTTGAAGGAGTCTATCCAAGTGCTCTAAACTGCCGTCACCATGCTACCTTGCATTCAATTTGGAATGGTTCCGGACTCATGGTGCAATACCGATTGCAGCCGAAAACCACACCAAACATCTCCGAGCACAGCATGAAAAACATTTCAGTGGACTCTCTCTCTCTTTCTCCTTTCTCTCAAACATGAAGTGGAGTCTCTCTCTCTCGCTCTCCCTTTGCTGACTTGCTGAGTTCTGGACCCCCTGGCTTGGTAAAGTCCAGATGCTTTGGCTGTGTGCCTGTCCGCTCTTCCTGCATCTTGCGGCTATCAGAGGACAGGCGAAAAATGCAGCAGACACCAGATATTGGCGACAAGCTGAAGCTGTTGGAACCTCAGCCGATTTAAAGCAAAGATTACGAGAGTCCACCCAAAGCTCAAGATGGAGAGATTCACTTGACAGATTGCCATCGCTAATATTGCTCTAGCACGCAGCGGGAACCAGCTAAAGCATCACAATAAAGATGTGGTGCAGCATCAGCAATCACCCGCCTGCGCTGCTCCTCCTTTGCCCTGACTGCGCGCTGCAGTCTTGTAGAAATAGAAGAAAAGGATGGCCGAAAGCCTCGTTTGTCACAGCTTGAGATGTAGCATGTCCGCGGCTCTGTGCAGTGAAATTATACTGTTCTGCTATCATGACCATCGGTTGTTGGTCAAATTACGTACTGGCCGTGAGGCATGTGGGATAGAAACCCACCCCAGAGGCACCAACCCCATGTGCGGCCTCGCTGCACCCCAGTACAGTCAGGCAGACGGAAAGCGGGCCCCAGCACCACAGGGTGCGGCGAGGCCGTGCGCCGGCTCTCAGGCAAATCGGAAACGAGACCATGAATGGAGAGGGCACTCATGTGGCCCATCAGGGTTGTGGAAGAAGGCTGGTGGTCTCGCCCTAACTAGGCAGGCGACAATGAGAACATCATCGACCATGTAAATCATGTCATGTAATGACATAACGAAGAACTGAAAATGACAAGCTACCAAGCGGACATGCTGATGGATTCGCGGCTGGTTGTTGGCTCACAAGCAGAACACGCCCAAGATTGAGCTTGCTACAAGGCTCACGAGCTGCAAGGAAGCCCTTCCGAACTATTGTTGTTGATGCTGAAGCCCCACAAGGAATCCTAGACCCATAGCCTATTAAGGAATTGCGGTAGCATTGTTCCCGCACGAAGCTACACAAAAAAACACACTTCTGAGCCCAAGAGCACAATGATGGCGACCGCTGCTGCAACGATCAGCCATACCAGCCTCAGTTCAGGCACCCAGAAAATGCAGGCGCTGAAGCCTTAGGTCTTGGATGTTTACCGGGAATGTGAATGGGCACTCTCCCAGTACCCAGTAGCTTGGAAGCAGGCGCTAATACAACAAAGAGCGATGAGGGAGGCTTGGGATACGCAATTGAAGTACAGGCTCACAATGCATTGACAAAGGAAAGAAACAGTGAAATGGCCGCTGGCTGTGTAATTTAACAAACTACGCACCTGCTGTGTACGTTTTCTCTTCGGTCTTGGGTCTGGGAATTCCTGAATAAACTTCTAGCAAGCTTGTGCAGAGTTCCTGTAGCAAAGCACTACATCTGCTTCGCTTCGCGCAATCGATCACATGCTACCTTTGCAGACGAGCATCCCAACTGAAGAGGCAGAGGGTGGGGGCACGCTCCCCTCCGCAGCAGTGCATCTTTTCTTTCTGGCTAGGGCTGCGGGATGTTGAAAATGTCAGGCAGTGCCCAGTACAAATCTTGACTACGTTGCAAAGGCTGCTATGAGCAGCCTATCTTCAGAGCATCGGGGTTGTTGAGCATGTTGCGTCTGTAACGTGACAAGACCTGGGATCCCTGACCCAGTGCAACATATGGCCACGCAGGTCCAACGACAACACCTGCCACAAAAACGGTCTGTCCGCAACAGGGAAGGGAAACCCTAAAAATGAACCTTAGATTGCAGGAGACACCCTCAATGCGACCGAAGAGGAAGCTTTGGGGCTAGGGGCCGGTGTGCCTGATTGTCTTCAGTCCCCACCACAATGACATTGAAGTCCAGATTGCTGCCCTGTGCCACCGACAAGCAAGGGGGGGGCATGCAAACAAGGATTTCAAATAAAATGGCAACATCACTGGAACAAATGCCAAAAGGAGGTTGCAACGTGTTCATCCGCATTTTGAAGACGAGTACCGAAACTTGGGTCACTGTTTTTGAGCGAGTTGGATTATAATGTTTGAGGTCGTGGTGCACTTGAAGCGCCTGAAGCTATAGTTTTCGTTTGTAAGTTTGTAAGGGCTCCATCGAAAATCCTTGATGACTCAGCGATTCTGAGGCCACAAAATGCTACAGTTTGAAGCCGTCTCTGACATGCGCAAGTAGCCGCTGAGATTGGCATCCGGCAGACCACACTGGCTGCTTTGGGACTTGGGCAACGCACAGAACAGGATGTTGTGATTTACCAACAGGCTGGTGTTGTTGTTGTTGTTGCTGTTGTTGTTGTTGTTGTTGTTGTTGTCGTCGTTGTTGTTGTTGTTCGGTTTGCGTGCTTCGTGGTGGACCCCTGTTTTTTCTTTTCGCAAAGAGAGGCACCACAAGAGAAAGCATTCTCCGGCACCCTTCATACTTGCGTCATGTCCTGTTACGTACCGCCAACCAGAATAACATTGGCATATATTGACATGCTCAGTGGCTTTTAACCTACAGAAGGAAGAGGACTGCTTCCGACATCACATCGCTGGCGGGGATCCGCGCGATGATACCTGATGCCCGGCAGGGGCATGCACTGTAGACTGTAACACTGCTAGTGCTAGCTCCTATACGAAATTTGCTGCTATCCTTTCTTGGGGTAATGGGTACTGTAATGACTGGAGCTTTGCGTTTGCCTTTGATAGGACCTCGTGCTAGGATTCCCTCCCAATCAGTTTAGGACAACGACAACAACAACATCAACAACCTGGCTCTGATTTCCTGGCTCCGGCTGCTTATGGCCGTGCCAACCCTAACAGGTGGACAAGGAAGGCCACACAGTCAAGGGCTCCACGGAAGGTGGCGCGATGAAGGCTCTTGCTCTTGAGCTTCCTCACTCTCATCCCCTCGTGTAGAGTCAAGCCCTGGCCCTTCAGGGCGGCCTGAACGGCGCTGGCTCGAAGAGACATCCTGGAGTCAGACACAGAGTGCCTAGTCGAACTTCTTTTACTGCTTCTACGATTGCTACATAGCACTAGTGGCTTTCATGTGCATTCGCAACGTAGCCATGTGTGTCTAAAAACATGAAAGTCTAACATTCATATCAGTTTCCTGGTTATTGTTTTGCACCGGGCTGACATGAGCAGGAAGTGTTTGGTTCCCAGTCCCAATTATTGCTTATTGGGTGATTGGGGTGGGCATTTGAACAGATTGATCGAACTGCGTGCCATACATTGGAATTGTCCTGTTTATATCAAAGATCACGGGGCTGGTGGGGTCCAGGGCAGAAGGCTCACGATTCCGGTGCAAGCCCCGAAGCGGCCACATCACAGTTGCTAGCTTGGGAAGATTAATGAGGGCGATGCAAAAGAGCTTGCTAGGGAACCGCGGGCGCGAAGACAAATGGCGCTCTTGAAACTCGCCATTTCAAGCCTCCTCACATCGTCCACACGAACTGTGGCATTTGCCTAGGCAAGCAGCGACTCCAACCTCACAAAAAGGTAGCTTTGATCGCTCAATGCGGATTTGCGTCTGGCATGCCAAGTCCTGAACCCACTTGACACCGTAGCCTTGTTTCTAAAGATATGTCCACTTATGCTTGTCTTCCAAGCACAGGGCTAGCTCGAGATGCGCGTTCAGGAGATCCTTCACCTGTCCCAGACGACGCTGGATCTCACCCAGATCACTCTTTCAATGGGTTGCTTTACATCTCACACTTGCAAAGTTTCGCTCGGACTCGCTTTGTGTCCTGAAATAGAGCTCCCTAACAGGTGCTTCGCATAAATTCAGGACGTGCTAAGGCATGCGGTGGTAGGAGAAAGCAATACAGGAAGTGCATAGTCGTTAGCAAAACAATTACATCGAGCAAGTGCAAGTGGGGCTTGTACTCTTCATCCGGGCCTGCAGCCCTGTCATATCTGAGAGGCCTCTCATCTGCAGAAGGAAGTTCTCTGCTTCCTGTCAGGTTTGCTTCTGCTGGTGTCTTGTGGCCCTTCAGACGAGGTGGTCAGTTTCTGCATTCCCTCCAATACTTTAATCCTGTTCCACAACAGTAAACTGCCATGATACGATCAAGTGAGGGAGGTGACATGATGGCTTGCAAAGCGAAGCGAAGCGCGCAGAGCGCACAGGGTGTGCACAGGAATTCGCTACTGAAAGCCCAGGGCATACATGCACCCCATGGTCTGCCCAGTGAAGCCATCACAAAAGCGGCTCGTTTCAGGCAAACCCGGCAGTTGGCTTGAAGGGGTCCGGTCAGGATAGCAAAGAGTCTGTCTTTAATAAGGGTTTTCGAGTCCGAGTTGAGATGAACTCAGTATGTGGTTGCGGGGTTCGGCTCAAGGCTTCACAGTCTTCTTGTTCTCATTTTTCTCTTTGCTTTTCTACTTGAATATAGAAATGCCGGATTGACAACCATGTCTCCGTATTACCTGAAGGGCGGTGCAAGACGATGCTACACATCCCACAGTCGCGCATCCTCCGAGATGTAAAACTCGGCGTCTGCCACGAAGACCATACGAACCAGACCCTCCTGCGCACATACATCACTCAGAAAGCCATCACCCTTGCTCGGCCTTGTGAGAATATGCCGATCAACCGCTATCGTTAGTCATCATAGTCATCATCATCACCACCATCATCATCATCATCATGACCATGATCGTCGTCATCGTCGTCATCATTGTCAGCAGCGACAGCAGATGATCCCGTAAGCCACTTATACAAATCCTAGCATGTTCCTGCCTGGGCAATGGGGCATGCGCAACAAGAAGTACTGGAAGTGAGGGTCGTGGCCACAATCCGAAATTCAAGGAGGGAACGAAACAGAGCACGAACGAAAGAGTACCATGGCAAGCTGAAGTGCAGAGGGCTCAAAAAAGAACATGTCAGCCTGGATTAAAAAGGTAGGGATTATGGAATTATGGCAACTGCGGCCCCTTCACCATCAGGAGGGAGCTGAAAGAAGTCTAGTCACGTCTCCTGGTCACAACAAAGCACCAAACAGTACAACTGCAACACCTCAGGTCTAAGATGAAAGGGAGCATCGGATGATTAGATCGCCATATACTAGCCCAAAATGAACCCAGTCGACATGAAGGGGATTCCAGAGAGTGGGCAAGAGGCTGCCTGTGAAGAGCGTGCGCATGAAGAGAAAGCGTAAGACAGTTTTGTGGGACAGCGCAGCTTGTGGTCAAAAAGCAATCACAGCAAACGTGCTGTACTGTCCCCAATGAGCAATCTGTGGACTTGTTAATGCCAAGGCCTGCGAGACTCCCAGAGATTGTTGTTATGGGCAGGTTATGGGGGGAGCAAGCAATTTAGCTCACCCAAATACTCCGAATCATGATGTGCGAGGAATGTCGTAATGCCAGCAGCATGGGCTAGTCTCAAAGTTAACGCCCCTAGTCCTCGCGAAGCCTCCTCCTCAGGGCATTGCTTTGGAATTCGATCTCCTGCTGCTTAAGGCTTTCGAAATTGGGGATTATAGGGATCTCAAAGAATTGAGAAGGGTTCTTTGCCTTTTATTCATCACTAAAAAAACATGTTGGCAGTCACCACCAGGTCGATACTGATTTTGTTGTTCCGATCACATTCGCAGCAATCATGCCTTCTATGTTGATGGAGAGTGTGAATGATGCTTGCGTGCTGGCCTCTCGCTGGAGCTGCCCTATCTTCAAATCCATCCAGGAGAAAAGCTTTGGCGTGGGTTTGAAATGGTTGTGGACGGTTCTCAGTCCTCTGTCGCATTCTCCTCCAATGTCGTATTCCTGTACACCTGGCTGCAAGAATTTGCTTCACACCCGTAGCCCCCCACAAGCCTTACTTCCGGCATTTGAACATGCAGGCCCTGACATCCCTGACATGCTCGCTAAGCGCAAGGATTTCGCACGAGGAGCCGCCTAAAGCGTCTCACCCAAGACTGGGTCATCTGAACGTTAGCTGTTAGCTATTAGCATGTCTGAAGCTGGAATACTTTCACATAATCTCAGATTCGAGAATCGCATTCTTAGCTTATGCCTTGGATACATCTTCGGTGATCTCTGTACGTTTTACACTGCCTGAAGGACACCTTTGCCCACGCAAGCAACTCAAAACTTGTTATCGCAATTCGCACCCATGAGCAGACATCACCACAACTTGAAAAAATCATCCTGCACTCTACACAATGGGAGTTTCTAAGGATTTCCCCTACATCATCCCGAGAGGGAACCTTAATCCCTTTGTGCCCCTGGAGTTGACGCCCAGATGCCTCCACAGAATCAAGGCCCAGCATCTCGGCCAAGCCTTTGGCCAGCCCTCCAGAAGCAAAGAGGATAGGGGTATACTATAGTGATAATGGAAAGAAAATGGAAACTACGATTGCATAGAAGTAATATGGGGGATATAGGGTTTAGGGTAAATCCTAAAATTGGGGCTGGGTTTTGGGCTCCTCTCCAAGGAGTATGTAGGGTTATTTGGGGAAACCGGCAATGGAGGTCGTTGCTGCAAAAAAAAATCATATGGCCAGTCTTGCATCCTACCAGACATGCATGAAGACTCCCAGAAGTCTTCGTCGGGTAATGTAGCGGCCTGAATAAAAAGAATGGGGTTTGGAGCATTGTACGCTATTATTACACGAGGGTTCCACGCGGCAGTGTTGTCAATCATGTAGGCGTCTATATTCCCCTTGAATCCTGTTCTAATCTTGAATCGCCAACTAGCGTAGATGCCTAAATCTGTTTGCAATTGGTGCCTTTGTTGCCGAGACCTTTGGCTAAGCTCTTTTGCGCGTACCCAGGCCCAGACAGCTTCAGCCAAAGTGGAAGCCTTCAGGCACTGCAGAAGCGTTGACCGAGTCCGGCTGCCTGAGCTGAGACCACAAAGTGGCAGTATCATTCGAGTTGCTGTAAGCGCAAGAGTCACAAATTCAACGACTGAAATGCTCCTGACAGCGCAGAGGAACTCCAGAAAATAAACATGAAAAAATCAAAAGCACCAGACTTCAATAGCAAAGATTGTCCTACTAATACAAGAAACGCGCATCCAACATACAAATTTGGAATGGTTCTCGTCTCGGGATTACTTGGTCTTGGTGCAGGTCAACTTCGGGCTCTGGAGGAGGTCTGCTGGTTGCTGTCCACACTCTTGCGCTAAACCCTAACACTTCCCTGACAAATTCTTGCAGAGGGTCGACATGAGCAGGTCAAGCTCCCCAACAATCCGCAGCAGGAGTGCGAATGTGGAGGTTGTGGAGGTTCTGCTTGTTTCTGTGACCTGAGTGAACCAGGATGGGCTATTAGACTCGGGAATTATGGGATCCAGTAGCCCATCCTGGAAGGGTGCTGCCTGGCTACCACATGTGAGTGTCATTCAAGCCGTTAGCTGTCATGGCGGTCTGAAGAAGAATCTGTCAGGATGCATCATACTCAGAAACCATTCAACTGGGAGGGTGTTCAGAGGGATGCGGGCCAAAGGAAGAGGAGCCAAAGGATGGATTGAGAAAGACCTGAGAGTTCTCTGAGCTTCTGAAAACCAATTCAGTCAGCCATCAGCTAAACGAGTTCTTGTCAAAGTCGAAACTGTTTGCTGGACAGTGTTTTACACGTAGGTAAAGAGAGTCTGTAGAAGCAAGTTCAACGTACACCAAAGCTGGGTCAACTTGAACCTTTTGGCCCTGCTCTACGCACAGGCAGACCAGAAGGAGAGATAATCAGAGGGAAGGCTCTGAAGAATCACATGCAAAAAGGGAAAATGAATTCAAAATTTGTTTAGGGCTTACAGGGTAATTGTAGTGAAGGGGCCCACTTACTTGGAATAACAATTATTTTCCAGTACGTGTGCACTTGAGGTGGTGCAAGATTTCTTCCGCCCACTATATGCGGATTGTAAGGGAGCAACATGGGTAATTCTGAAGGCTTTTGATTAGCCACACCACTGACACCTGAGCCAACTCAAAGCTGGCACAAATGATTCTACTGACATCTTGTAGCACAAAACATTGCGCAGCTGAAGCACATCACGAGATCTGGGGCTTCGGCCGTAGTTGCGGAGATGGTGACTGTTGCTGATGTTGTGGCAGGCATCTGCGTACAGGGATTTCTGTGGCGCCCCTGACTCTTCGTATCAGAGCCTGAAAATCACTATTCAGCCAACATTGACCACCCTTGGCTGACGGTCTTGCAGATTGTCTTGGACTGCCCTGGGGTTGTACGTAGCAAACATGAAACTCACTTGCTACCACTGCTGCCCGCACCTGCAAGCACTCAGGGTACGTGCCGTTCAGCACCTCAGGCCGGCGTATGGTAGCTGCTTGGAACTGTTTTCAATGCATGTCGTCAAAATGTCCAGAAGGTAAGTTGTTCGTTACGACCTCCTGGCACTGCATTCCCAATGACTCCTCGTTTAAAAGGACCTGTGGAAAACGATATGCATGAACACTGGGCCGAAGTTAGACCGTATCTGGGCTTAATGTTTCCTTGCTTGAACGGGCGAAACGGACACTAACAGCTGCAGCCTACCGGACATCCGCACAACCTGTGTGTGAACAAGAATAAAACTGTCTGTCCAGTCGTGATTTTTGTGGGCTGAATTCCCCGAGCCAGGTCTGGCTGATCTCTTTTGCTCTGCATGGGCAGTATAGATAAGCGCGAACATAAATCAAAGAAGCGGATCAGTCTGGAAAATGGTGGGAGGCACCTGCGATGTGAAAGTACCCTATTAAAGGAAACGGTCCAAAGCTCAAGACGACCTTGAACCGTTGAAGTCGCAAAAGCCTGTATCACCATCAGGGCGCCCCCTCAGCGCCACAGCTCCAGGTGGCATTGGGCCCAGAAAAACCCTTAGCGCAGCCCACAGTGCAATTGTCATCTGTCCTTGGCGGATGACCCATATCTACCCTCGTAGGGGAAGCCCAAGTTCTGCCCAGCTAAAGTCAGATGGTCTGCCGTTTGACAAATCACTAGTACAGAGAGCACGGGCACGAGTGTTCCGTACTATTATTGCTGAATGTGCAGCACTGCAGGTTCTGAGCCATGCAATACCGCAGCAAGCGTCCCTGCCAAGCGCCATATTGCAGACAGGGGCAAACTTAGCACTTAATTGTTCAAGCTTCTACAGTTTCTACAATGCCTGTGTTCATTTGCTAGCTCATAGGCTAGCACACGCTGAGCTGGACGATCGCGTGTAGAAGACCTTTCGATAGATAGTGGCGTGCGAAGAAGATGCAAGCTACCAACGGATAGAACGCCCCACATGCTGAATGCAAAGCACATTTACCACCAAGAGGCACAACACGCTGGCAGTCGTGCGTGAAGTGAGCTCCAAACGGGATGTTGTAAGCACAGACGTGCGGAACACATTCCTCAGTGAGCATGTTGACATCCTTCTGCCGCTCACAAGATGTCGTCAAGTTCAGCACAAAATCCAGGATATACGTTTTATGTATACACTTCTCTGAGGGGTTGCATTCCTTGATCAAGCATCAAAATCTCAAACACTACCTTATGCTGGTTGCTGGGTAGGTGGCCCACGATTCCGCTAGCTCCAGCTCTGAGCTTGAACAGTCATCCCCAGACCCTGCATGCCCGCGTGCTGGCATTCTACAACCCCAAAACACATGGTACCAACACTACAATTGTGAATGAAATTGACGGGGCCTGATCGATTCGGATGTCTTGCTTGCCTCTCCATTTCCAACCGGAGCGCGGGTGCAACTTGGACCTTCCCTGCCCCGAAAATTAAATGGCTTTGCAACAAGGCACAGACATATCCCGAGCAACCCCTGTTGGCTTCGTCCTTTCGGGGACTTCCGCTCGCAATGCATCCTACCCATATGCAGGCATCGCAAGCGGAACCCCTGTGCCAATGTCTGCAAGGAGCCGGCACCTCACCTCGTAGCGCATAGCCATCCTTGAACGAATTCGCGCTCAGGGCATTGTTGGGACACTAATATCAATCACAAGTTTACGTTCCTTATTGGGTTCGAGCAAATACAGACTGTACAAAAAATGCAACAATGATCTTTAAATTGTTCTGGCTTAACAACGAACAAGGGGAATCTGTCAAGAGTCCCGATTGGGGCTTGCAGGTGCCGGTCGAGTGGATGGATGCAAAAACGTAGCATCAACACCAACACATTGGCATTGTAATTCTATGAATTGGTTTTGATTGCTGCGAATCACTGCATGGCCCACTACAGAATCTTCATGCTGAATAGAGTGAGACAGATTGGGTGAATATATCCGGCGCCTGCACCTGCACCTGCAGTCGTTGAAGAGCAGCCAAAAAAAAGGTTTTATGTGAAGCCAAGATTCAACCAACGGCACGTTGCTCACCTTGAAATGGGAATGGCTCAGAAGTGTACTGTTATGTACTGTTTCAACTTTGAGGTTTAATTAGTTCGTTTAAGGTTGCCTTTGTCGTGAGCGGAAGAACCGAGTCCTCAGCCGGTTGACAAAACATCGCATAGCTACCAGATGGCATCTAGTTAGTCCTCAAGAAAGCTTAAACAGAAGCGGACAGGATGGTGCAAGTCAGGAAAGTTTTCCTGATGTTTGAACATGTACTGCGTATGATACTATATCTTACTCTACATGGGGGGGTAGTGTCCTTGTTTCAAGTGCTACCCAGTAGCCATTGTAGAGTCGTCTGCTGCACAGGTCCACTGTAGCACCTCCAGCGTTGAGATTGCAACTGGACATCAGGATTCCGCTGCGGTTCCGAATGGTGTCTATACAAACATGATCAAACATGAACGAGAAAAACGCTGGAAAATGCAAAGGACAGTCACAGGCAACGGCCCTTGTGCATTTCTGCCGGCCAGAATGGTTTGTAAGGACCATACGCCCAGCTCATGAGGTTGTGCCAGAGTCAAAAGGCTTCTTGCCGCAAGAGGCAATAGCAAAATTTGGCGATGCAGCAGCTTACTATGTCGACTTCAGGAATGCCGCTTAGCAAAGCACTGCATTTCTTTGCCAGTCATGCTCAACATGACGATGGCACATTGCATGTTCAGAACTGTAGAACTGACAACGTATATCTTCGCAAGCAAATCCTCAACCTCCAGCGGAGCGCGAGTTGGCCACAATCATAGGACAACACTGTCGCAGTCTGCTTGGCTGAGTGGACCTTCAAACCAAATCGAGATCGCCAAAATTGTGGGCCCTCAAATCCTCGCAAGGAACGGGGCCCTGGGAAGTCTGCCCCTGTAGTCGGAAACGGAAAGCGCCTGCAACAGCCGGACGAAGCCTTGCCAAGGCAACGCTGCCTGGCACAGGAATATGCATGGCTAAATGGCTCCAAGGGTTCCAAGAAACTTGAAATGCAAAACAGGAGCCCGTGCATTCTTACACGGTAGGCCCCGGTAGGCTGCACAACCCCAGCTGCCTCCGCTGCCACTACATACGCAGACAGCTGACTTGGTCCATGGTCCCCTAGCCCAAAGATGCACAGTGCAAGCTGAACTTTTCGGCCAAATGTTGAATCCTGACTAGTGTGGGGAGCTATCCCGGACTGCTTGAAGGAGTTGGGCATGCGGACTTGTGCAAGGTTGCACAGACTGGCTGGATGGTAGTTTGTCTTCTGAGCAACAAGTAGGTTTCACCTGGCCTGTTCGTCTCAAGACCTCAAACTTGAGGATTCCAATTTCTGTTCATGTCCCAGACCATCGATTTCTTGTGCAACCGCTACGAAATCATTTCTGGACGGAGGGACTTCAAGCCGAAGCGTCAATGATACGAATGTTCTGTATGTGATGACTCCTCCGGAGTCTTGGGTCTGCGTACGCATCCAACAAGCAAAGCCGTTTCACCTTGAAAAGCTGCACATTTTCCAATCCAAGGTGTCAAAGCGACAAGCTGCAGGATTCTCCAAGTTCCTTGCCATGGCCCAAGCTATCGGATCGATTTCTTATAGATCTGCTTCTTCTATGTCAACCCCGCAACCCTCATCCCATTGAATCTACTCTAATGCCCTGCAAACCTGGCCCTAATTTGCGTAAGTCTTGTATTGCTATTCATTATTTCGGTGTTTGAGCCTGTTGTGTCTTACTATTCTGACTTTTCTCCGTCTTCTAGAAGTGACATAGAACCCCGACGGACTGTTTGTGTGCGCGTGTGTGTGTACACCCTGCTTGCCAATTCAAAGGGTTTTCGTTCAAGCAACGACTGCAGAGGGCAGGAGGAGGGTGGGGAGCTCTGCCCGACAAAGCTTCCCTACCCTCCCAGATCTCCCAGAAAACGTACTTGCGCCAGGTCCGCACCTGGACCCCATTTGAGTAGCTGGTGGGGCCATCATGTCCCGCCATCATCACATCTTTGTACTGCATCATCCTCTGGTCTGAGGTAGTGAGGCAGGACCCTTACCCCAATTCATACGGAACCTCATGTTCATCAAGTTTTACAGGTATGCCATTCTTTAAATCTGGCGTACCAATGGAATCAAGATTTCCACGCACCATCATGTGTTAAAATCATTCATCATCAGCATCATCCAGTACTTCATCAAACTGCTTGATCAAATCATGCCAGGCTAAGGATTTCAGTAGCTTCGACGTATGCACCAATCCAGCTGCCAATCATCAGCCTCGTGTCTCGGGCCTTTGAATGGGCACAGCACATCTTTCTCAACCAACCAAGGTCGTTCTGGTAGCAATTGATAAGACTACCCTAGTCTGAAAACGGAAGTTGGTGCCAGAGCCGAGTGCTGCAGCTTTCCCCTGACCTCCATGGCCTTTTGTATTTCTTCTGTTTATGGGAACTTTCTCCCTAGCGCCGCGAATTGATTCGACATGTACCTTGAAAAGCGCTTCTACTCGAATGAACCTAATGTAGAAGCCTGAAGACATGTCAGCAACATTCGTCTATAGCAAAAAAAGGCTCTAGAAAATGCCCGCAAAATCCTGCTCAAAACTAAATAGGCTGCCACGCTAGGCCCAGAAGCCTCAGGGAGTGGCAGGCCGTAGCCTGCAGCGCAGAATGCGAAACAGCTGCCTCCGGCCTGTACCTTGACTTGCGGGTGCTAAAGGGGCGTGGAGGGAATATAGGTAGATTGGTAGTTTTTTAAGCGAATGCATACTCCCCCTGAA